CTCGCAGGCCAGTGTTTCCCAGTTGTCAGTGTTTATACTACATTTTTTAAGATTTGCCTTGAGACTGTCTTTAAACCTCTTTTGTTGACCACCAGCATTATGCTTTTCATTTTTAAGTTCGGAATAGAGTAGTTGCTTTGGAAGACGATCAACAGGCATCTGCACAACATGACCGGTCCAACGAAGTTGATGTTGAAGAATCATCCAGAGGAGGGCAACCAAAATGGTCAAAGGCCTGGAAACGATGCCTTATGAGGAACGGCTAAGGGAGCTGGGCATGTTTAGCCTGGAGAAGAGGAGGTTAAGGGGTGATATGATAGCCATGTTCAAATATATAAAAGGATGTCACATAGAGGAGGGAGAAAGGTTGTTTTCTGCTGCTCCAGAGAAGCGGACACAGAGCAATGGATCCAAACTACAAGAAAGAAGATTCCACCTAAACATTAGGAAGAACTTCCTGACGGTAAGAGCTGTTCGACAGTGGAATTTGCTGCCAAGGAGTGTGGTGGAGTCTCCTTCTTTGGAGGTCTTTAAGCAGAGGCTTGACAACCATATGTCAGGAGTGCTCTGATGGTGTTTCCTGCTTGGCAGGGGGTTGGACTCGAGGGCCCTTGTGGTCTCTTCCAACTCTATGATTCTATGATTCTATGATTCTATGATTGCTTCAACACTGGTTAAAGCATTTCCTGGTACAAAAGTGATCCTATATTTTTCCATGGGCTTCTCCTTCTGATTAACTTCCTACAACAGTAGCCTGTTGTTTGGGGGGTTCTTGTTGTTATTTAGTCGTTTAGTCGTGTCCGACTCTTCATGACCCCATGGACCAGAGTATGCCAGCACCCCTGTCCTCCACCGCCTCCCGCAGCTTGGTCAAACTCATGCTGGTAGCCTTGAGAACATGGTCCAACCACCTCGTCCTCTGTTGTCCCCTTCTGCTTGTGCCCTCCATCTTTCCCAACATCAGGGTCTTTTCCAGGGAGTCTTCTCTTCTCATGAGGTGGCCAAAGTATTGGAGCCTCAGCTTCAGGATCTGTCCTTCCAGTGAGCACTCAGGGCTGATTTCCTTCAGAATGGATGCATCTGAACTTCTTGCAAGAGTCTCCTCCAGCGCCATAATTCAAAAGCATCAATTCTTCGGCGATCAGCCTTCTTTATGATCCAGCTCTCACTTCCATACATCACTATTGGGAAAACCATAGCTTTTACTATACAGACCTTTGTTGGCAAGGTGATGTCTCCGCTTTTTAAGATGCTGTCTAGGTTTGTCATTGCTTTTCTTCCAAGAAGCAGGCGTCTTTTAATTTCATGGGGGTTCTATTTACTTTTAAAGTTCTGCTTTGCCTCACCCAGTTCACCCTCAAGGAATGAGATGGGTTTCTACTCCCCAAATAAAGAAATTCCGCTGCTTGTGGGTATCCCACAGGCATCTGGCTGGCCACTTTGAGAACTCGACGGGCCATTGGCTTGATTCAGCCAGCTCTTATATTCTGCAGCCATCCTCCAGAAAGTGAGGTGCAGTAGAGACAAAGACAGGAAAATCCTCTTCCCCCAAGATTTCTTGCGCTCAGAATCCAAGCCAATGTCCTTGGCAACTGTGCATTTTCTGAGGGGGACATCAGCTTTGCAGCCCTCCCCACCCAAAATGAGCTAGTGATACTAGTTGCTAAACCATGGTAATGGTATATCTACCTGCAATGCCAAAGTAACATTCATTTGTGAAATTGCAGTGGGAGTGGCAAAGGGCACACCCAGTGCCTTTTTTTTTCTAGAAAAAGTGGTGCCCGAACTCACCATGAACACCTCCCTCATTCTCTTAGAATGGCAGAGGTGCCCATCTGAGAGGTGCTGGAACTGAGTTCCAGTGAGTTCTGGCTGAAAAAACCCCTGGGCACGTCACACATTTGCTGTCTAAGCAAGTCATAAAGGCAGGTTGCAGGAGCGTCTATTGGAACTCAACACACACACCAGAGCTAAATAAACAAATAAATCCCATCTGTTTCAGTGAAACTTGCTTCCAAATAAGTGTAATTAAAATTGCAGCTTGTCTGACTCCGTGATGCCTGGTCTCTATATAATAATACCACATGGAATGATTTTTATTTTTCTTTTTTCTTGTTATAGTTTTGATATATGCTGTACGGGAATAGGAGCCTGTCAGACATGTTTTATATGCCTGTGAAATACATTTGGACAAGTGCAGGAAAATTGTGGGTTTTCCACATGGGTTTCATATGGCAAAGCCCCTTCTTGAGCAGATAATGAGTTTTCCCTGCTGAAAGGAGATACAATTCTAAATTATCGTCTGGAGGCTGACTTGCTGCTAAATTTGCAATAATTCAGTTTGGGAACGTGACAAACTGAAATGACAAAAAGGAAATGGCCCCCTGCCAGGCATATAAATTGATGGTGTTTCAGGTCACTGGTTTACAATCCATCTAAAATACTTTGGATGATCTCCAACTAAGTCATTCTCAGAGTAGGCCAATTGAAATCAATGGATTTAAGTTACAGTACTTAAATCCGTTGATTTTGAAAGATCTGCTCTGAGTATGACTGACAGTGTACATAAGTCTTTGCTTAGATTTCATTCATATACAGTATATGTGTGTGTGTTTAACAGCTCAGTCGGTAGAGCATGAGACTCTTAATCTCAAGGTCATGGGTTTGAATCCCACATTGAGCAAAAGATTCCTACCTCACAGGGGGTTGGACTACATGATCACTGTGGTCCCTTCCAACTCTACAATTACATTATTATTACATTTATATTTTGCCTTTTCTCCAAAGAAGAGCTCAAGGTAATTCACCCCCCGCCATTTTATCCTCACAGCTCTGTGAGATAGGTTAAGCTGAGAGTCATTTGTACCAAATCAGTTAGTGGGCTTCATGGCTTAGTGGGAATTTGAACCCTAATCTCTCATGTCCTGGTCCAGGATACTAAGCACTACTCCACATTAGATGAGATATACTGTGTGTATATAAAATATAGACCAGTATTTCCAAACTATGGTCTGCAAGCTTTATTCAGGGGGTCCACAACACGGCTATAAATTTGTGATCAAGGATGGGAGATGGCATGTCTGCCGCATTCAATATCCATACAGTGGTACCTTCGTTTTCGAACAGCTTAGTTCACAAACAACTTGGAACCCGAACGCTGCAAAACTGGAAGTAGGTGTTCCGGTTTTGGAACTCTTTTTCGGAAGTAGAATGTGCTCCGTTTTGAGTCCCCTTATGTTTCCTGTTGCACTGCTGATTTGCATCCCTGTGTTTCCCGTTGCGCTGCTAATTTGCGTCGTCCCCCCCCCCCCCCATTGTAATTCAAGCCTTCCATTTCCAATTGCAGTTCTCTGAGGTGATATTTGCAGCTTATATTTGGTGCTTTTGTTTTTGCTATTTCTTTTGAGTTTTTTGTTTTGAGGCTTTTTCAGTTAATTTGTTTTTGTGACTGTGTGGATCCCAGTTCAGCTGCTGATTGATTGATTGTGTGACTACGGAAATGGATAAAATCCCCCCATCCAAACAATGACTATCATCAGTGCAGGTAAGAAATTTTAATTTTTATCATCTACAATATTTTTTATTTATTTTATAGTACAGTACATTTTTTATTGCTTTCATTTTATGGATCAATGGTCTCGTAAGATAGTAAAATTCATGTTAAATTGCTGTTTTAGGGGTTGTTTTTAAAAGTCTGGAACGGATTAATCCATTTTGCATTACTTTCTATGGGAAAGCGCGCCCTGGTTTTGGAACGCATTGGTTTTGGAAAGACTTCCGGAACGGATTAAGTTTGAGAACTGTACTGATTTTTAATTGTCTTTCCATTGCTTCTTTTATTTATTATCCTGTATTTTATTGCACTACACTTTGAATTCAAATAGTGATGCAATAATATACCATATGTAACGCCTTCGGCAAATTTTCAAGAGGGGATAAAGTTGGATGCCACAGTGCTGGATACCACTGACACAGACCTAGCAAATGCAAAAACAAAACCGTTACCTGAATAGCTAACTTTGGAAATGATCGTAGCATCTAAAATCCTCAATAAATGCAATGGGATTGGATCCTCTGGAGCAGAAACCTCAATTTACTTCAGCCCCTTGGCAGGATATTCTGAGTCACTTCATAGGCATGATCTATTAATCACTTTGTGAACTCAAGGATTGACCTTCCACTGGACAGATGGACACTTTGTCTGGATTCTACTTCTGCAGGAAATTGTGCAAAGCCTTCGGTGTCCTGTCTGGTGCTACTTCTAGTCACATAGCTGGTCTCGCCTCACCTGCATCCAACTCCTCCTACCAATTCTACGTATTTTCCTAGCGCTTGCCACTAGCTACTGGTAATGCCACAGCAACCACTGGTGCAGGTGTGGAGTGGGGCATTTTCCCTTTGTACATCTTTTTTAATGATTTACGTGGAAATCGGTTTGTTTTTCTTGCATACTCTTTTTGATGCGTTTTCTTTGTTTATGGCTAATTTTGTTACAGTTTGCAGCTGTGTAAATCGATGGTGGTGGTTGTTTTATTATTTACTGAATTTGCAAACCGCCCTTCCCCAGAAGACCACAGGGCGACCCACAACATAAAATTACAAAACGAGGACACAAAATACATAATAAAAACAAGAGCAATACAATAAAAAACCCTCCCTTCTCCACAAACACATCTAAATAATGTATCGTTTATTAAATTTGATCAATTTTTTTATGACATGCTGCAAGCCACCTCGAGCGTAGTCATAGAAATGGAAAACGCGGCATACAAATATAACGCCGATGGAATTGTAAGGCGCCGCTGAAGCTCCCATCCCACACGCGTCCGTATAAGGACAACGAGCATGCGCAGTTGCCGGACGTCGCTCCTCTCTCCCGCCGAGCCTCGGGGGAGCGCACATGTTGCCCGTCTCTCTGCGGGTCACGTGAAGGGCGCTCAGCCAACCGCTGCTCCCGACTTGCCCGGAAGCAGCCCTCCCCGCTTCTTTCCCTTTTTCCCGTTTCTCGCGGACAAGATGGCGGCGTCCAGGGGGCTGCGGTTGCTGCGCGACGGCTGGCCGCGGCGGTGGCTCCACGCGGGCCCCTCGGCGGCGGCGCTGCCGGTGCCGAATCCTCTCCCAGCCGCCGCCCCGTCGCTTTACCCTCCGGTGGTGGCGTCGCTGACGGCGAAGAGCAAGGCGGCCAAGCAGCGCCGCCGGGAGCGCTTCTACCAGGAGATCCACGACGCGCCCTCGGTGGAGGAGAAGCTGCGCATCTACGGGAAGCGGCAGCGGCTCAAGTACGTGGTCTACCCGCAGACGTGGGCCGTGAACGCGGACCGCTGGTACCAGGACTACACCAAGACCGTCTTCGTGCCGGGGCTGCCCGGCCCCGTGGCGGCGGCGGCGGCGGCGGCAGCAGCAGAAGGGGAAGGAGGTGGCTGGGACCTGGCCGAGCTGCGCTCCGCGGTGTGCGACGCGCTGCTCCAGGAGCACTTCTACCAGCGCAAGCGGCGCCCCTTTCTCTTCCGCGCCATCGAGCAGGGTCCGTCGCCTTTCCTCACGCAGCTGGCGCTCGGCCTGACGGCCCGACTGGCCAGCGCCAACCCGGCGCTCGGCTCCTCCTCGGCCCTGGGTGCGTGTGTGTAAGCGCGAGGCGGTGGGCAGTGGGACACGTGTGCATGTGTGTGTGTGAGAGAGAGAGAGAAAGAGGAGTGAGAGGAAGGTATTCGAGTAGTCTGAGTTGTTGGCTTCCAGGAATATAAAAAAATGTTAGGGGGTTTCCGTCAATTTCTTTATATAGGTGCCAGGCAAAAACCTTTCCTATAGAACCAGGCCTTTTGCCTTTAACCATTTTTGTCCTTTTAGAAGTGGGTGAGATGTATTCAATGCATTTCTTTTCTTTTCCTTTTGACACTGATAATAAATAAATAAGAATAAAAATGTGCACCCCACCACCGAAACAATTCCATTGTAGCTATCCAACCTTCCAAAATTTTAATATCTCTTGTGATGGTTTGACCTCTTTCCGTTCTACAAACACCTTCCATATCTCCACAAAGTCATTTCTCCTGCATATTCCCCGTCTTACCTTAATGACACATGTTAATTTATCATTAATAGCTATTAAAGGTAAAAGGACCCCTGACCATTAGGTCCAGTCATGACCGACTCTGGGGTTGCGGCGCTCATCTCGCTTTATTGGCTGAGGGAGCCGGTTTACAGCTTCCGGGTATATCCCATCAATGTATTTCTTTCCCTCCTTGGTTTTAATGTACCCATGCAGGGTTTTATCATTTGTTTGGTTGTAAGTTGCATTGGGTAAGATAAAGTAACTCACAAATGCAATAATAATAATCTAGTCATGATCCCTAGCAATGTGTGCACTAAGGAGGAATGTGTGTTTGTGGGGGGGGGTGTTATACTTTTAATCAGTTACACACATGCATAGCAAATAATTTGTGAAGCATAGAGATGCATAAAATCCCCTTCTTGTACAGATCAGAGATGGACGCCATACATAATTCCAAGTAGCTTCTGTTTCGTTGGCAACATTTATCTAGCATTGTCTAGTATAGGTGCTTCTAGTGTTGAAAGTACTTCTCCTACAGCTTCCATCAGTTGTAGTTGTTCCTCATTTAACTGATTTACTGTGATTTTTCACATATTAAGGTTCACAGATATTCAGCATGTATGTGTGCACAAAAATTGCTATGTGGTCATGCATACATCCTTGACTACAGGCATGTTTAATATCTCTGGTGGGCTCTTGACTGCAGGAGGCATTAAAGACACTCTTGTTATTTCAGACCTCAAACCAGAAGTAAATTTCTATTGGCTGCGTGGTGAGACAGTGGTTCCTCGTGGACATCGAAAGGGTAGAATTGACCCACTGAGATTTCAGATTGATGATAAACCTCACTGTCAGATTCGTATACGAAAACAGCTTTCAGAGGTATGAAGTCCAATTTCATAAAGATCAATGGATTTGCTATTTCTGGTTACTTCAGGGGTGAGTATCGACCCCTAAATAGATCTCTTCTATTATATACCACGTTTTGAAGTCTACAGTTTAATTAAATTAAATATGTATTGGGTGAAATAGCCCTTGTTATGAAGAAATTAGACTATAGCACAGTTTTCCTGAAATGCTTGATAACTAAGGCATATTATTTTTCCGAATTTAAACTGGAAAGTGTGTAGCAGTAATAACTACTTATCCTCAGAAAACCTCACCCCCTATGTTTTTTCATAACTCATTGATGTGGGTGTGTCATCTGAATGGAAGGAAATTGATGGCTCATGCAAAGATACATTGTGCACCCCCCCCCCCGAGGGCTGGTACTTCTGCAACATTCAACATTATACAAGCAGACTCTCCCTTTCTCCCATGCACCTTCCTCATGCCTCCCAAATCTGCTGTAAAGGCTCCCCAACCCTTCAGAAAATATTTTATGGGTACTCAGAGGACTGCGAGGGAGAGGGGGAATCCAGAATGAATGAGATGTTGATCTACTATGGATAACATCCCCTTTGGATTCATAGGAGCCTTTTTTATTTTCAAGTCATATTGATTGGCTAGGTGGCGAAACCTGTTGTAAAGTGAGTTGAGTGGTATGAAGCAGTACAGTGTTCAAAACTCTCATTGCTCTAGGTGCATTTTGCGACAGGGAATGTCATTGCACGAGCAGCTTCTGAACTCTGGGCACAGTACTGCAGCTAAGATTTCAGATTAAAACTGCAGAGTGGAAGAAAAGGAGGACCTTTTTCTGCCTCCCCACTTCCAGCTATTTTCTGAAGACTGGAGAAGAGACCTTCTTAAGAATATTAGGGGGGTGGGCATGGGAAGGACTAGACCATGTGAAAATGAGCCTAATATTTTAGCTGCAATTCATTCATTTTCAGTTTTGTATTCTTGTTATTAAAAAGTGCACCTAGATATTCCGTTGTTGCGTCCATAACCTATGTTTAAGGTGCCATTTAGCTCCTAGCTTTCATATCTCAGTTTCTAACACTGAAGCAGTAGCAGCACCTCAGACAGGGAGAACAAGGGAATTAAAAGGTAGGGGAAAGCATGGGTGTAGGTCTATGCCGTGGTTTGTCTCCCCTAAACAAGCTGTGAGCGGTAGGCCAAGAACAAACCTTGGCTACCGCTCATGGTTGGTTTGGAGCAAGGCAAACCATGAGCCTGGTATGGACACAGTAGTAAGCCACTATGTCTGCTGATGTTATAGCATTGTGAAATCATTTGGGAGAATTACATCTCCCTGTAGACAATCATGCTAGTGGTAAATAACAAATTACGTTGTAATTTAGGTCAAATATTTAAGTGGTCAATAGTGAGCACCCTCTTATTATTAATAATAATTAATTATGTTATAATTGTTTTTAAAAATAAGGGTTTAATGTATGTTTTAAATTTTGTATGTTTTTATTTTTTGTAAGCAGAAGTGGTGTAAAGCAGGGCAATTTTTTTAAAAAAGTAAATGCATAATACCGTGTGATTATATATCAGTTTATTGAACCGGTTTTCTTTTTTCTCCCCTTAAGTTTGTGCCCCTGGACTATGTGGCTCCTGGAGATATTCCTGTTATTAATGTCTTGCCTGACAAGCTTCCAATGTTCAAACGACAGTATGATAATAAAATATTTATAGGTAAGACTGCCACATCAGAACGCTAATCTCTAAAGTCTCTACTCAATGAATTTGTAGACATATACTTCAGATGCATAGTACTTTAACATGTCTTTATGCTGTAATTCAATATGAACAAAATATAATTCATGCCATTATTTTCAGTGTTTTCATGTTTATTTTTTTAACAAAATAAATCAGTTTGCAAGAGGACTTCAGCAACTCATTATATTAGCAACTCATAATATTAGGCATTTGCAGATAACCTTTCAATTTGCTTTCCATATGTTGTATTAAACCATATGGTCAATATCTCAACTGGGCCACTGTTATCCTGACATTATACATTGGGGTCAACTGGCTGAAATAACAGTGGCTTTCATAATACACATAGCAATGTTGAAGTTGAGTTGGCATTTAAACTACGAATTTTCCGGCATGCAGTTCATTGTGTAGTTCACTTTGCTACTATGGTAAAATATTTTTCTTGATAAGTTTTATACTTTGTTGGATTAGGATGCCTAATCTTGTTGTTGTTTTTTTGGAACAAATTATAGCTGTGACACTGTTATATTGGCATAGCGTGCTAAGCCAGTGCACTCCTGATTTCAAAATGGCCTATGTACTTTAAATTTACTCCTTGCTTGAAGTAGATGTTAGATATTTCTAAAGGTTCACAATCTTTATCTAAAAGGCTTGTTAGTTGGCATCAGTCTGTCTTGGGGAGACAATGGAGGAGTGCACCTTTGGGAGTGAAGTCAGATGGTTGGAAGGTTACAGCACCTGCTGTGGCTGTAGAGACTGATATGGGAGAGACCTGTTTTATTGCAGCTGGGGCAGATAAAGGCATCCTGTTGTGCTGTTGCAGATGCACCATGGAGTTTTGTCTCTGCGCTCCTTCCAGCTGTCATTCGTCCTCTAATCTCAGCTATGGATGCATGACCTGACCATCTATACATACTGTATTTGTCTGCAAGGGATATAAAACAGCTGCATTTTGTATGGCATTGTGTTCACATTTAAATTAATTTTTTTGAAAAACATACCTGTCAGCATCACTATATTGTTAAGAAATTTGAAGATAAAACAGCTAAGAAATCTGTTATTGGATGAATTGGTACTTTTATCTAAGCATTCTACATGCTAAAATCTAAAACAATTCTTTCTCTTGCGGGATTTAGGATCAAATGTAGCAGATCCATGTGCCTATGGACATACGCAGTTTCATTTAATTCCCGACAGGCTGAAAAGGGACAGGCTTATAAAAATGAATCTCTTTGATCAGGTTGAAGTTCCTTGCCGTGCTAACGCAATTGCAAGTCTTTTTGCTTGGACTGGAGCCCAAGCAATGTACCAAGGTAGGTCAATAGTTAAAGATGATAGCCAGTGTTGCAAGATAAGGTAAATAGCAAGCTCACAAATATAACTTTTAGAAGATGATACAGCCATGTGATTTATCTTATTAATGCATTCTAAAGAATATGTGAATGTGGAGTGAGTATGTGAGCATTAGGCATGTCCACTCTGCACTTGGCCTTCTCATCTTGAACTGGAAGATCTGAAAGAGGCTTGTAAATACTTCTGATGAACATGGTAGCAAGTCTCATTGTAATTAGGACCTCTAATCATACATGGTTCATGCTTGCTTGGGATATTGTATATGTGCTTAGCTGAACATGTTTGCAAACTGCCTTCAGGCCTTTCCACTCAATACAGAAAGGCTGGGGTGGAACAGATAAACCCAGTGTGTGGGGGGAAGTGAGGTGGGACTAGTATCTGCACTTGAAATCCATGAAAATGTTGGCATGGTCTTGTAGCTTGAGGAGGTGAAGGGTGTTGAACTGTGAGCAGCTATGACCCCTTGTAGAATGGGGAATATCTTGTATAGCGCTGTGGTTTAAACCAGTGAGCCTCTTAGGCTTGCCGATCAGAAGGTTGGCAGTTCGAATCCCTGTGACGGGTGAGCTCCCATTGCTCTGTCCCAGCTCCTGCCAACCTAGCAGTTTGAAAGCATGCCAGTGCAAGTAGATAAATAGATACCACTGCGATGGAAAGGTAAACTGCGTTTCTGTGCATTCTGGCTTCCGTCACAGTGTTCTGTTGCACCAGAAGCAGTTTAGTCATGCTGGCCACATTACCTGGAAAGCTGTCTGAGGACAAACTCCAGCTCCCTTGGCCTAAAAGCGAGATAAGCGCTGCACCCCATAGTCACCTTTGACTGGACTTAACCGTCCAGGGGTCCTTTACCTTTTCCTTACCTGTATAGCTCTTAGTTTGTGCTTTTGCTGCTGGCTGACTCTTGGTTCTTGCCAGACATAAGGTGTTTTATTCAGGCTATTTCCCCTCTAGGGGCCCTTCCTCTTTGTTGTAAGTTGCATGACTGACTGCAAAGTTGGAGCTCTAAACCAGCCTTCCTCAACCTGGTGCCCTCCAGATGTTTTGCACTGCAGTTCTCATCAGCCCCAGCCAGCAAAGACCAGTAGATGGCAGAAGCTGTCCAGGACATCCGGAAGGCACCAGGATGGGAAAAGCTAGTAAGCTATTAAAATATGCAACCTTTTACAATGGATCTGCAATGACTTGGCTTTTAAAGGCTTGCTGCTTTTTTTGTTGTTGTTGTTGATAGGAAAATGCTTTTGTTTAGCTGCTGCTTTTTTCCTCCCCTCTCTCCCAGGATTCTGGAGTGAAGCAGATGTGACCCGGCCTTTTGTATCACAGGCTGTGATTACCGACGGAAGATACTTCAGCTTCTTTTGTTACCAGTTGAATACCTTGGCTCTATCTGCTGATTCTGATAAAAATAACCCAAGAAAGAATATTTGCTGGGGAACTGAAAGTAGGCCGCTGTACGAAGCAATCGAAGAAAACAATGTGAAAGGATTTAATGATGAAATTCTAGTTCAACTGGTTAAATTTCTCTTAAACAGACCAAAGGAAGTATAACATGAAATTCAGGTACATCTGAATCCTCTCAAGATACTCCAATGCCTAAAGTGAAATTTTGTCTGGACTGTCAAAAGTGCAATCAATCGTAAGCACTATTCCTATGTTTGGCTCTTTGGGTCAGTGAGAGCTGTACGAGAGCAATGCTGGTGCTCTTAAGTGCTTTGGCTGATTTATTTGTATGGCAATAAACACATTTATGTTGCTATTTAAATGAAATAGCAAGACTGACATCTTCTGTGTGTGTTGTGTTAAAATGTGGTTCTGTCCTCAAAGGAGGACGCAGATTAAATCCACAACCATTAGAAACTAGCAGGAGATTTTACTCCAGATACTTTGTTACATTTTATCTTCTCTAGTTAAATAGCATTTTCAGAGAGTGCCATGGATATCACCCTCTTGTTGTTGTTCTTTGCTCTTCTGAGCCATACCCCTGCTCCCAGACAGAGCGATCACACACATGCATACAAACATATATATTTTCTTTGCTTTTCCATAGTCAAGTCCTGCTTTTCCATGTTCCAAGTTATGCAATCTGCAGCCAGAGGTTACATTTTCCTAAGAATTTGTGTGCTAAAACTTCAGAATAAATATAAAAACAGAAAATTTATCAATGCAGAGCAGTGCTACAGAGTTTTAATTGGTGTTTAAAAGGCAAAACCGTATACAAGCGTTTTAAAATACAGGCAGTATATTGCAGGTTGACCCCCACCCCCCGATGAGTAATACAAGCACATACACAAATCTCTCATATGTTCTTGAATACAACCTCTAATAAGGCAAGGGCAATGTGTTTGAGTGAATTGCCTTGTTAGGGTGAGTCTTTTAAAAGAGGCCCCATGGAACATGTGTACTCTGTATCCACGAGGCCTCTTTTAAAGGACTCACCCTGTACTTGCATTAAGATACGAATTGACTGAAATGTTCCGTGTGTACTTGATCATTCGCCTGGCTCCCAAGTTTCTGCACAGTAGTTTCCCTGCAACAGACTTGGTCTGTTGTTCTGTGGCTGGGAAGCAGTGTTCAGGTGTTGCCAGTGTGGCATTTTCTTTCAGGTAAGGATGACTTACACTGGTTTGAGTTGTGATATGTTTATGCTGGGTGTTGTGGGCAAACTGGCAAACTGGTTGTGGGTTTTTTGTATGGGAGGCTCCCCTACTTACAATTTAAAGCAATATGTCTCAAGCATGTGCATTTTCACTGTGGTACACAGATTGTGCTGCCACAATTATTGACCTCTACTCTTTAATTTGTCTTGGGCAAATTTCTAATGTATTGTAAGGCATTCTTACAAGTTCACCGACACACAATGGACTACCAGAATGAAGGTGACTACAATTTTATGATTCCTTGTGGTCCATGAACCACAGTTTGGGAACCCCTGACTTGCAGATTAGGCATCTGTGAAGGGGAAAAGTAAAAAAATTCCACCATTGTAGTAAAAACCCCTTTCATTAACTTCAGGTGCTCTTTGGGTTCTGGCCACAAACATATTAAAACTTCATTTGATATCAAACATGATTTTGGTAGGTAGAAGATTAAACGAATGGAAAGGTTAACCAGCAGATGGCACTGTTTACAATTTTGTATGAAATACAACATCAGTGTGTCTGCCTGGTGTTAAAATGGCTTGCTTTTTAAAACTGCAAAATTACCATTCTGTTGTTTTCCATAGAAAAATGACTTCAAATTGAGAGCTCCCATGATAAATACTTTGTTTGGGAAATGGCATTTAGGGAGGATTTCTGTTTATGCATATTTAACACTTATCTAATTAACTTGCAGTCTCTTCAGTATTTTCATTATGAAAATAGAATGGGTACTTCAGTTAATGCTTTTGTAGACTTATTATTATCATCTTCCATTATGTCTCCCACAGAAGAAAGCACATACTGCACACTGAAGCTCTGATGAAAATACACAGGTTTTTTTTTAAGCTGCACAGTATATTTTTTAAAGAGTGAAAAGTCTTTCAGTGTGCATTTCCCTCCTTAATTTGCCACTTTTCATAGTGAGAACCAAAGCATGCTATAGTTCAGATGCCAACCCAGTTTGATAAATGCAGCAGTGCTATGATTCTCCTTGCAATGGTAAAGGGATGCTTAATGGCTGCTTGCAGTGCTCCTATAGACTTAAAGAGTGAAAGATAAAGAGTACATGTGATTTGGGCAATTTTCAGTAGCTGACTCTTAATTTCATTAATATGACTAGGATCCAGCAAGCTACTTAAATCCCAAAGGTTTTGACACTTTGCACTTTGAACTTGCCACTCCAAGAGCCATATAAGAAACTGTTCTAAACTCTCCTTTCAAAAGCCTTGCTACTTTGAGGTGGGCAATTGCTGTACAACAAGCCATATAAACCAGCCTTCCTATGCCGGTTTGTGCTGTAGTCTCAAAACATCAAGAGCACTGGGTTAGGTTGGCAGGTATAAATGAATTGCTTTCATTGCTGCTGGTTCCCAATCATACACTGGGGAATAACAAAGGAGAATTGCAGCATTAAAACCCTCCAACTATTATGCAATTCTGTTAAACTGGGCTTCAGGTGTGGCCCTACATGCTTTAAACTTGCTATCCTATGGGTAGTATTCCAGCCTTTCCTCTTCATACTGTATCTTCCATGGACTTCATCCGACAAGACATACTAGGGATAAAGTTGTGCCTTGCTACTAGTTGCAAGATGAACAAGAGTAAATATTTACTGCCTTATCCCTGAAGGGACTCGAACTTGAAACAGCATAACCTACTTGTAATACAGATGTGTGCACAAAGACAACCTGAATAGGCAATGGCCTCTTTTCATTTTGAGCCTGCAGCAGCTCATGACAATCTCTGCAAAGTAACTGCTTGCCACAGCACAGGATGCAGCACCTCCAGCCTCTGCTTAGGTAACTTGTTCCGTGGTTGTATTGCAGAAATGGAAATATGAGGGCATCAAACACTACTATGAAAGCGCTTCGGTATCAAGATTTACTTGCAGTGCTCACTTGCACATCTGTTTTGCCCTAGGTGCCTGCACTTAAGAGCAATATAGACATGATTTCCCACCGCTGCCACTGAAATACTTGTATTTCAAGAAACTTGTAGCAAAGTGACATTAGGGAAGGACTGTACCTTGGTGGTAGGACATCTGCCTTGCATGCAGAAAGTCCCCAGTTTCAACCCCTGGCATCTACAGATAGGCAGGGAGAGAACCTTGTCTGTAATCCTGGAAAGCCACTGCTAGTCAGTACTGGACTAGATGGATGGTAGCTCAGTTGGTTAGAGCGTGGTGCTGATAACACCAAGGTTGCGGTCTCAATCGCCATATTGGCGAGGCTGCCACCTCTGCAGGCAAGGGGTGACATCACTGGGCTCCTGAGCCCCACAAGAGTGCCACAGGAAGAATGCAGTTGGTCAAGGGATACAGAGACTCAAAAAGGTTGAAAAACTGGACTATATAATCCTCAGGGACCCTTCCAACTCTAGAATTCCATGATTCTGTGACCTGGGATAAGGCAACTTCTGATGTTCCTATGACATTAAACCAAAGAAATCTGTGTGGTTAAAAACTATGAGCATAAATTAAAAACCCAGTTCGTTCAAATAAAAGTATTTTTGCTTGGTGTTTGTAGAGACGTTCCAGTTTATGTTAGGACTTGTAAATGAAATCATGCTCTGGTCGTGATCTTGCTGCCTTTAAGAAGATTTGGGTTGTTCACAAGTTTGGGACACAGTTTCAAGCCCAGTGATGCTGAAGTTGAGGTTGTTAACCCCCAAATTAATTGCATTTATGATTGGAATAAAGCCCAGGAACGTACTTATTTATTTTGAAGTGCCACCAAATTGCTTTTTTGAAAAGTACTTGAAATTGATTCTTTGGCAAATCTACCAAAGATGCAAAGTGTTTGTTCAAAAACTTAAAGTGCTGAAATATCCAGAGCACTGAAATATTCTTCCTGTCCTCTCTGCCATGCTTTGCACAATGAGGCAAGCAGGGTTGCATTTCTGGCACCTGACGATAGAAGTGGAAAATACTTGCGCAGCAGGAATGCACCTGCAGGGCTCTCATATATCAAGCAGTTATAATAAACAAAACAGGACAACAATGTACCCCGTCTGGTGGCCTCTTCTCCCAGAAGTCGTTTGACTAAGCAGCATTTTCTTGTCTTGGGTTTTTAATTGAAAATTCATTAACGTTCTTCAAAGTCTAGCCACATGAAAAAGCATCAGGCTCTTTTCAGTTGATGCTTTAGTTAGTGCACTAGCTGAAATGGGAAGTACCCTTGGGAAATAACAGATACCCCCACAGTTTCTTTTGTGTCAGCTTTTCTCCTTTCAAGTTCCCACACATATTCCTGATGCCTCCTACCACAACTCATTTGACCCAGACAAACTGGCTGCCCTGGCATTAACCCAACCATGGGGTAGGAAAATAGGAACTGTGTACGTAGTACCCCAGTTTCTACGGCCTAGAATCATAGAATCATAATCTCAACTAAAGCATACCTGACAGATTGCCATCCAGCCTCTGCTTAAAAACTTTGAAGGAAGGAGAGTTCACAGCCTCCTGAGGGAGACTGTTCCACTGTTGAACAGCTCTTACTGTCAGAAAGCTTTTCCTGATGATAGTCGGAATCTCCTTTCTTCTAACTTGAAGCCATTGGTTCGAGTCCTACCCTCCAGAGCAGGAGAAAACAAGCTAGCTCAATCATGTGACAGCCCTTAAGATATTTGAAGATATCATCTCAGTCTCTTCTTGTCCAGGCCTGCCATATTAGGACAACCAGGCTGTTTTCCTCTCATTCTTCCTAACAGTCTAAAAAATAAAAATAAAAATGGCTAAAATGATTTTTAAGATTCCAGCCTTCGTAACTAAAGAGCTATATGACAACTCCCAGGTTATCATTACAATAAGCTTGTGATGTAGGTTTGGTCAAGGCTTTTGTGGCTGATTAGAGTTTTGAACTCAGGACTTTCCAGGCTGCCTAGAATGTCGACCACTCTACTCCACTGGTTTCCTCATGCCAGTGGCAACAAAGAAGTGCTTTAAGTTCTATGTGAGACTCCTATTTTTCCATATTCGTTGATAGATGCCACTTGTTCCAGCTTGCAACAGCACCATCAACATAATCAGAATCTTCTTCGTATCTGCTGCTTCCATCCTGGCATCATAGCTGACCCAAGACACTTTGCAGCCTCCAGAACCAGGGCAGCAGAAGCGAATAGGAGTGGCTTTGAGAGCATGATGGGGTGCAATTCTTGTACCACACTGAAGCAGCAATTGACTTGAGATATGTGCTTCCAGCATCCTCTGTGTATACTAGAGTAGGCTTTGGGGCACATTTCTTACAAACTGCAGTTCTAGGTTCAGTGCCAATTCAGGCCTAGCTCGGACAGCTGAGTAAACAGTCTGGTCTATCTGAACTATTTCCAAATTGAACAAGGGGGAATTTGCTCATCTCTCTAACAAGAACATCATCTGACACTTGGCACAGCACTATAGAAGCCCTCTGCAGAAGTCTTCATCATTAACTTCTTCCAGTTCCTCTTTTCGTCACCCTTACAGCTTTGGGTATGGCAATGGAGTTATGGGAGATTTAACTTGTGAAATTATAGGAAGTTCATGATACTTGGGCAAGTTTTTCCAGTGGCTTGGGCTGTAGCTTTTATCCCAAAATTTAACCCCTTTTCTGCTAGTAAAAAAACTTCCTCCACTTGTCTTTTTGCTACCTAATTTCCAAGTTACTAATGTCTCTCCTTCTATCCCTTTTTACATTGATTGCCCTGACCCTTACCAATAAATTAATCCAATCCCCTCCCTGCAATGTACTTGACTCTGAGTTCAGAATTTGGGTTTCATTACCATAGACCCAGGATTTGCAGGAAAATGAGAATAAGCAGCATTGCCTTAAAACATGGATGCTTTAGCATTGCATTGCAGGGGGTTGGACCCTATGATTCTATGACAATGATGGGCCACTCTCCCAGTTTCCTGCTTAAAAGGGAAGCAGATGAAAACCTCAGCTGGATCAGACCAAAGGTCCATGTAATCACAGAATCATAGGATTGTAGAGGGACTCCAAGGGTCATCTAGTCCACTGCAATGCAAGAATCACAGCTAAAGAAACCCAGACAGATGGACATCCAACCTCTGCTTAAACCTCCAATGAAGAATAGTCCACCACCTTCCAAGGGAGTCTGTTCCACCATCAAACAGCTCTTACTGCCAGAAAGTTATTCCTGATGTTTATTCAGAATCTCCTTTCTTGTAACTTGAATCCATTGGTTCAAGTTCTACCGACTGGAGCAGGAGAAAACATGCGACAGCCCTTGAGATATTTGAAGATGGCTATCATACCTCCTCGCAGTCTCCTCTTCACCAGGCTAAACATACCCAGCTCCTTCAACCTTTCCTCATAAGGCTTGGTTTCCAGACCTTTGATCATCTTGGTTGCCCTCCTTTGCACATGCTCCAGCTTGTCAACATCCTTCTTAAACTGTGGTGCCCAGAGCTGTTTTCAGCATCCCTTTTTCCACAGTGACCATCCAGGTGCTTCTGAGAAGCCCAGAAGCAAAGCTCTCCCCTGCTGTTTCTTTCCCACAACTGCTTAGAAATGTTACCCTTCTGAAGTGCCATATCCTTTGTTCTACCTGCAACCACAGAGAATGCTGATCGGCTTCATGTTTTCCTTTCGGGTCTTTTGTTTTTGTTTTTTCGATGGGCAGGAAAGGATTCTAGGTTTGTCCTCCCATTTTCCAGCAGAAGATCCTTCTGGCCATTTTAGTGCAAAGCTGAATATTAAAAAGCCAGTTATGTACCACTTTCTCTCTCCCATGCAGCTCCAGGTAGACAAAAACACACACAGCACAAGAGAAGGGCAGAGGTCGGCTTTTGTCGTGGTTGTTTTTGCCACAAATAGCTCTTCTTCTCAAACTCTAATAGACTGGCATCTTCATCCATGCAGTTAAAAATGGTTTGGTGGTGAAAAGCAACTGCTTTGACAACAGGCTGTGGCAGAACAGACCCATTAGAGGGGGAAGTGCTCTGTGTGTCTGTTATTTTCTGATACACTTTGCTTTTCTCTTTTTTGTTGTTGCCGGTTTCCAAATAGTTTGCGGTGGGTAGAATATAGTTACGCCCTGCTGTTTAAATACTGTAATTTCCAGCCGGGTGATGGATTTCAAGCAGCAAACCCAATTTGCTACTGCAGTTTGGTCCACTTAGAAGAGCAGTTGACTGAACTCCTGACTGTATTGGCTGGAGTCTAATATACACGAAGACATAGCAGTTACTGTCTACGTGTTTTGTGTCTGGCAAATGCTGATGAAGGCCATGTTTAACATATATAGACAAATGGTGGGTAGTGGGTCAAGTCTCCAGTAACTACCCTCCTATTGGAGGGGTGGAGAATCTCAGGCCTAAGGACCAAATGTGACTATCTGGACGTGGGCATCTCCCCACACCACATGCCCTCCCCCCTTTACTGAGCTTGATTCTCACACCCTCCTTGAACATCTTTTTTTCCTGGAGGGAATGTATCATTGAACTCTGATAATGACGCTTGGAAGGTTGTGAGGGTTGTGTGAGGGTGTGTAGAATGTAGCCTACTTTGCAAAAGTAAAATTCACATTCACGGCTTTGCTGATTTTTGCCTCCACCACTGGAATGTGGCACCCCAGGAAGGTTGCATAGGAGAAAATGTGGTCAGGATTGACCAAGAGGACGGGGTGCTCTCTCTGTGTTCTCTCCAGTCCTTACGGATCAAGTGTCCGCATAGCCCAGCATTCTGTCTTCAACAGTGGCTGGCTTGTTAACTCTGGAAGTTCACAAGGAGGGTGTGAAGGTGTCAATCGCTCCCTTTTTAAAATTCCTAGACTCTGGTAACTACATATACATTCAGCCCTTTTCGTCTGGTAATGTGGCACCAGAAACCTGCCAATGAAATGAATGGACATGACTAATTTAGGCACATCAGTTTCCATTGTCTGCTCTGAGTAAATATTAGCTGGCTATAACTATTTTATTATTTTAAACAAAGTTATGATAATACAAGTAAAAATAAAATAAAATAAGTGCACCCCACCCCCGAGACCACTATTCATCGTAACTATCCAGCCTCCCAAAATTTCAAACTCTTTGTTATTCACCTTTGCATGCTTTATTGCCTTTATTATTATTATTATTATGGTAGACCACTTCAAATATTTTTTTAGGAACTCAACTCAAAAAGCCATAAAGAATCTTAACAGTGACATTGCTCTCTTCTATCCTTTTTTATTCATTATGTGCGGCTAGCTTTTTAATGTTGATTTGCAAAGCCCACAAAAACGTAGGAAGTGTCAATTTCAGGAAAGGTGGCATAATATGATAACTCGCTTTCCTCTCTTATAAAATGAATATTTCATTTCGGATATGCATTACAAATGTGGGACAAGCACATGATGCGGTCACTGGATTTTAGTTGCAACCCTATTTTGCAGACCCTGGTGTGGACATTTTGGTCAAATGTGGACACAGATCAACTCTCCATGCACTTTACATAACATTGGAGCATAAAAGTTGCCTTATACTATGAACATTGGTCCATACAGCTTAGCACT